CTTGCTTAGCAAGTACAGAGCCCTGCGTCTGAGCCCCAGCATGGCTTAGAACTCCACACAAATCCAAAAGGCTTCATGATAAATAAATAAAACAAGTACAAGCGGACCCTCAAGTTACAACTGGCCTGACATATGAACAACTTGGGTTACAAATGTAATTTTAATTTAACTTAAAACCAAAGTCTTGAGTTACAACCCACTTGTGCTTCCAGATGGTCTCAGATTTGACCCTTATAAAGTTCTGGATGGAACATGACAGCACCCTCTCCTGTGTAGGGTTCACTGAAAAATCCTGGGCTGATGTCTCTCTAAGGACACTGAGATCTGCTGTGTGCAGGAGAGAGACTTCAGAGGCTGTGTAGAAGCCTGAAACTTCACTGACCTACTTGGGTTAAAACGTTACAAACAGCCCTTGCAAATGAATTGAGTTCGTAAGTCAAGTGTCCACTGCTTATTGAGCAACTACGGAGTGCTAAGCACTGTTGTAGGAATGGAGTCCCTGGCAGTGAACAAACAGGTATAAATCCTGTCCTTTGCATATGGTAATCTGGTTGGAGGAGACACAATAATAATGAAAATACACAGCAACAGGATGAAAAGCAAGCAAGGAAGGGGACAAGTTGTGTGGGACGGAAGCAAGTGGTGCACTCATGCCAGGGCAGCCGCTCCTGCCTTTGATGCGGACTTATGACCCTGCGCTAGGTTAGGGAGGAAGCTGGGAGCCTTGGCTAACGTGTCCATTTTTCATAGTGAATAATAAAAATGCTCAGGAGACAGCTGGAGGCACCAATCTACAGGGATCCCAGTCACTGTCAAACCAAAGAACATGCTGAAAGACACGCCCAGTGTTGGCAAAGATCCCCAAGCACCAGAACAACATGGCAGATAAATGCTGTGAACAGTGACATGGAAAGATGCACCATGGGGCAATGAACCACAAGTTCAGAAGGGGGCCTGTGAAGGGAGGGAGGAGGTGCCGTGACCCAGGTACGTTTCCTTTAGCTAAGGTCCAAGATGGAGGTAGTCTTTATATCCTCACTCAATCTTTCTGTGTATCAGAATTATTTCACTCTACTTAAAAAAAAAATCAACCCCATTTCAACCCCTTCTCGGCATGCTTTAGCTTCTTAGATAATCATCCTTGGGTCAAACTGACTCTCATCTTCAAGAAATGGGCGAGACACCACTGACCGTTCTGCTCAGCAAGAATATTCTAGCACTCCCAGAATCATTTCACTTGTCCTGAGGAGAAACAGAGTAAATTAAGGGAATCAGAAGATGCTGTGACTTTTCTGGTGCTCTGAAACTATACATCAGAGCCTCCCATGAACCGCAGAAATGAGCTGTGTGAAAGAAAACACAGCAAGTGTATGCTGAGTGCTTTCAGCTGAGCCGCCTGTCATGGCTTTAAACACAGTCCCTATCTACACAGGAGACATTTTCAGCAATGCCCCCTTTGCTTTTCAACAAATACCTATTTAAAAAAAAAAACCTCACACCACTGTGGATAACAATGACACCCTTGTCTTAATTTTTATTAGTATGTGTTTACACTACATAGTGCAGAGTCAGTCACATCTTTGCTCCTATTTTTGTCCCCTCTCCTCTCCTGTCCATTGCGGCAAAGATGGCTGCACTCTGGTTTCCATGGAACTCACAGGCAGCCCTGCTGTGTGCTAGCTCTGCCCTTCCTGCTGCAGCCACCCCTGTCCAACCTCAGAACGAGGGGGCTGAGGATGAAAGGCTTCCAAACATTTGGAGGTCACTGACCTTGTCTTTCCCACGTCTCTGAGGCCAGCTCTCTCATATCTTGTGCAAATGGATACTTTAGTAGGTCAATGCCCAAATACTAAATTCCCGAATGCTGGATCTATCTTTGTGACCACAGAAAAGTCAACAACAAAAGGTTAAGAACTCCAGCTTGAATCTTGAGCAAGCAACTCCATACAGGCAAATTCAGTTTGTCTCTGCAATAAAACCATCCAGCCATCAAGAAAATAATTGGTTTAGAAAAGAGCTCTGGCAGGATGGATGTGCTCACAGATGTCCTGTCTGGGGCAGAAGGTGAAATGAAACTGTAGGTGTGGCACAGGCAGAGAGGACCTATTCACAGCTGGAAAACATGTGCTGCTCTCCTGCGTCCCCAGGGCAGCCGTCGGTGTGACCACCAGGAAGCCTTGGCCTTGACTGCCTGGGAAATTTCCGGAACCAAAGCTCCTGTGGCTTCTCTCAACTTGTCCTCTTCTAACTTTTCTCCATTATAAATTCCTTTCCCTTCACCTTCTCCCTGGTGACGCCATCTTCCCTGGCCTTCCTCATCTTCCCAGTTTGATGACCCCAATCTCTGTCTTTGAAGCTGGACCTCTTTGGCTCATCCATGGAAACCCAAAAGTCCCTGGGCGTCACTTCCCTCGGCACATCCCAGCAGAGCCTGAGGATAGCTCCCGATCTCCACCACCGACCCTCACACTGTGCCGCAGATGCCAAGGCCAGGCCTGCCCTGGCCCAAGGGACAACTGAAAAAGGACAACGAGGGGCATCTCTGCCTTCATCTCACCTCTGTCATCTTCAGGACCTTGACACTCTGGGTCAGCGGGCACGCTAGTCACTAAGGAGTGTCTGCCTGACACACAGTGATGCAGGGTTGTTACCCCTGCAGGTACCTTGTGTACTGCACCCTGCACAGCAGAGGCAAGATCTAAGGGATGCGCACAGCCGGTCCTCACGGCGTCCCCGCAGACCCGAGTGAGGCCACGGTGTCCACAGTCATGCTCCTGAGTTCAACGCTCCCTCAGCCCCTGAAGACAGCTCCTCACACCTCTTTCTCTGCCCTCTGCGCTCAGCTGTGGTGCCACAGGCCGTTCCCCGCCCCCATTACTGTCATCTGCCGGACTCAGGCTTTGCATGCTGGGCCTGGTCAGTGAGACCCCCGAGCCAGGGCCTCTGCCCCATGCCCTCTCTGGTGGCTGCAGCTCAGGGGATTGCAAAGGCAGCCACTCTCCCTCCCCCCTCCCCTCCTTCCCAACCTGCTAAGCGCTTTCCCAAGGATTCGCCTCTCTCCGTCTCTGGCGCTGCTGGAGTTCCTTTACTTCACGCCACCCTGGATTCCTCCCTGGACAGTGATCCTGGGACCGCGTGCTGAGCCCCTAGTCTATACGAAGGGGCTGCTCTTTGGATTGCTGGAAATGAACAGGATTTTCAAATTTTATTGAAAATACAAAGTGAAGCTTTGAGAAGCACTTGCCCAAAAAAGTGACACCGCAGTGCAGCCAGGAGGCGCTCGTGTGCTCACTGACTCACTCACCCGCTCAACAAAAGGACATGGAAACAGTCCTGTGCCCACAATGACACACTGTCGCTTCAGAAAGCAAATTGCCCAGATGACGGAGAGAGCCGCCTTAGCTTTTGGAAAAGGTTCATCCAGCCACACGGCACAGCGAGGCCAGGCTTCCAGGAGGCCGTGCCTCTCCCTGGTGTTGCCAGTCTGACGGGCAGAGCTTCTCACTGTGGTGCCTGGGCCTGGCCAGCGCCTTGGCCACAGGAGACCTCTGTCCACAACGAAGCTCCTTCTGGACCGCTCTCCCCGCTACCCAGACACCCGAGTCCCTGCCCCCCGCCTGCCCCAGACTCCACTGGCCCGTCCTTCGGTATGGGTGGGACACGGCACTCTCTTCCCCTTGCCCACGCCCGCCAGCCCACTTTCCTGGCACAGCACGGTCTCTGTGAACCACAGAAGCCAAGAAGACCTGGCCAGCTCTGGGCCAGGGAGAACGGCGCAAGTCCACCCGGTGAAGGCTCAGACATGGGGCAGAGGAAAGAGACCAGAGGGCCCCTGCCCCCTGCCATCTTCCCAAGAATTGAGGAGGACCAGGCACCTCTGGAGTTCAAAACGTGCCTTCCCATCGATTGGATCTTTGTGTGAATTCTGTGGGTGGAAGAAAGATGTTCCCCACTTTTGTAGACCAATGCGTGTTCCAGTGAAGTTCACGACCCACTGTAGTCAAACACTCATGCCTACGTTCGTGGTTCTCCTGAGCCCAGAGGGACTTTGGCAGCGGGGAGTTGGTACAGCATCACATTCTGGGCCCTGACTTCCCTGGATTTGGTTTTGAGAGCTCTGAAGAGCTCGCCAAGTTAGAAGGCCTTTTTAAAGAAAAATATTAGGAAAATATGAATGCTGACCTAGGAACTTTGGGAAATGGTCCCGCCAGGAGCGGTCCCTGAAGCTTCGCTACACACCACGTCCACTCCCGAGCGGAACTGCGGAAGAAAGTAAATTTACACGAGAGAAGAGAATTGTATTTTAAGTCAGAACAAAATCACAAAGCAAGGCAAAGTGTAGGAAAGAAGAGCAGCAAGAGTAAAGCTATTCAGTGGTTGAGAAGGCACCGCGCCGAATGGGTGCTGTGTCTGGTTCCAAGGCGGGGACGATTAAAGACGTGGTCGCTGCCCAACCGAAATAAACCTCTCTTCCTTTAGCTAAGGGCACTGGGTATTTTGCCCTGCAATGGGAAAAGGAGCACATACAATCCCTCAAATAACTGTATCCAAGGAAGCCCTCTGCACCCAAAGCCACCGGGACCTGGCCCTAACCGGAGCACTTTATTCCAAATCATACTTGTTCATTTGTTTGTGGCTCATCCCCTTGTTTAATATAAAGTTTCCAGAGAAGCAGGGTTTGATTCGTCCTGTTCATTGCTGCAGTCTGAGCATCAGGTGAGGCACCCGATTTGCAGTGAATATTCCCTGAGAACCATGGCGTAACCCACGGAGAAAGGCGCAGCGCTGCACAGAGGCTCTGAGTGCCCACAGTAGGGCAGGAGCCATCCGTTTTGCAGTGCGCATGTGTATCTTTGTGGATTTTTTTTTTTTTATTCTAATGGTCACGGTGGCCAGATGACTGCCCCGCCTGGACAAATCATAATTTCAAACAGCTTGGCTCGTGGCCAAGAATGGAGAGGGAAACAATGCCAGTAAAACTGGAGGAGTAGCTGGGTCAGAGGACGCGATGGTCTGCTTGGCGTTGCTTGTTTTTTAGGCTGAGACACACTTGAACGGGAGTCCTTTGGAGACCAGGGAACGCCGAAGCTGGCATGGACTCGCCTTCAGAGACAGGAGAACACTCACTGAGCTAGGAGGAGTGGGCATCTCTCTCAGGCCAGCAGCGCAGGCTCGTGAGGGTGCTAATACAGCCAGAAAAGAGAGATCTTCCCGTCTACCCCGGAGAAGCCTCGGCGAGGAAATCATTAAGCTAACATCCAACCCCTCGGAGCGTGCAGGCAGAACAAATCTGAGGGGAGCCGAGACAACCAGCAACGGCAGCAGTGTTTCACCAGAAACCAGGTGAGGGAAAATGGCAATGTTCAACTGCCACCAAGTACGTCCTTTACCAAGGGTCTCGTCACACATCTTTTTCTGGCAGGAAAGCACACTGCCTTCAGTTCGGCAAGTCTGAAGCTACCCGGAGAAGGTTAAGTGAGCGGTGAGGCGGGGGGCAGAGAACCCACCTGGCCAGGTCCACCCCAAGGCACGGTCGTTCTGGCAGCAGGGATGAGGACTATAAGTCTAAACGTCAATTTAGTGCCGAAGACAGACGTTTCCTCTTGCACGCATCATTGAATTCCAGAAAACGGATGCAATTTCGATGTAATATACAGGGACTTGTCTTGTTGCCCCGATAGGGGGCGTGTGTGTGTGTGTGTGTGTGTGTGTGTGTGTGTGTGTGTGTGTGTTTGTGTGATTCTCAGCTATGAGTATAGAGGATAAAAGCAAGTTAACACGTCACAATGTACCTAACCACTCACAATTTATACTAATACCCCTAAACACAGTAATGCCCATAAAAAACAATGGTCTTAATTATTTAAGTTTCACGCATTTAAATTAAACACTTTACATTACCTGAGAATATCATGAAACCTAAACAGCTCAGCGTGACTTTGATCAGCAGAATCCCATTTACTCAGATTCTCAACTCCTGACATATTAGGAGACACCTACTTTGTACCTCAATTCTTTATTTGTTTTTTCCACTACTGGGGATTGAACCCAGGGCGCTTGAACTACATCTCTGGCTTTTATTTTGTTTGTTTTTAAAATTTAGCAACAAGGTCTCACTAAGTTGCCCAGGCTGGGCTTGTGATCCTCCTGCCTCAGCCTCCCAGAGTGCTGAGATTGCAGTACTGTGCAGCTGAGCATGCAGCCCAGAGTGCGGATCCTCCCAGAGACCAACAAGGGGCGCCACGCCTGGCTTTGCCTCATTTCTTAATTAATCCTTCTGAACATCTGGCTACATCAGTGCCATCCTGTCCTCCCTAGTTAATAGGCAAGAGAAGAATCTTCTTTCACCTCTTCAGTTTTACATAATTACCTAGGACAACAAAAAGCAGCAAGTGATGGGCCAAAGTGAAACACAGGGATCCCGAGTCCCCGATCAGGGCTGTCAGCTCCAGGAAAAGCATCCTTTCAAACACTGGCAGTTATTTATCGGTGGCACATTATTTTCCCAAATTAAATAGCCAGTAAACTGGAGTGTGGTTAAGACAATCCTTAAGACACAATGGCTTGAAAGGGGGCCCAGGGCCACTTGCATCAGACGCCTCCGAGGTACCTGATGGAAACAGGCTGCCTAGACTCAGCTCAAACCTACCGAGTGAGGACTTGTAGAAGGGTAACTTAAAAAGTCTGTTTAACAAACTCCCGGGGTTAGTCAGGTGCACATGGAATTCTGCAAACCACTGTGTCTCATTCTTTGCAAAGCCCTGTTATCGTCACTTGGGGTTTCATACTGGACAAAGTTCTATATTCTTATTGAAGTCATCTTTTGATTGTGAGGCTTGTGGAAGAAAGTTGTAAAATTCTACCCGGTCATCCATGGTTATCTTTGAATTCTCAAAATGCCTAACCCTGGTCTCTGGTGACAAAGACACACATTAGCTGAAATGGGGACACAAGTTCTGGTTCCTTCCTCTCTCTGTGCATCAACTGTGATGTTGTCTAACAAAGATCTCATTGCAGCCCTCGGGTGAGAGGGACCCTAGACCCTGTCTCAGCTGGAGCTTTTCCAAGAAGTGCAGCGAGCTGCCCAGAGCTACCTGCTCGAGGCTAGCAGCTGTTCACCTCAGCTTGCCGCATTCTCTCTTTTCTTTTTATTCCACAAGACCGGTCCTCGGGATGAATCACTGCTCTCTACAATTTGAGGATTCCACATCGTGAGCTAGACAAGTAAGCCAACTCCATCTTCCCCATTCTATTCTTAGCCCCAAATAATGGGACAAAACTCTGACACTTTGGACCCCGAATGTCCCCTGAAGGCCCCCGCCTGGGGGAACACCAGGGGTAGGGGGACCCCAGGGAGTGTGGCCCTGTGGGAGGTCCTTCGGTCACAGGACTGACGGAGGGGATCCTGAGACCCAGCCCTGCCTTCTGTCTCTTTGCTTCCCACCCCCTTGAGGTCCACCACCTGCCGGCACCAAGGAGTCCAGCCTGGGCAAAACAACCACAAAGGCCGACGGGGAAGCCAGCCCGCCCCGAAGCAGCCACACCAACCGTCTGCGCTGTCTGCGGACTAAGACCTCCAAACTCAAGAGCCACAGTAGACCCTTCCCCCTCATAAACCGATCATCTCGGGAACTGTCACCGCGATGGAAAGCCCATCCAAAACTACACGGAAACCCCTCTCCCCAGTGAGGCTGACAAGAACTCTCTGCAATGTGAGTGAGTTTAGGTATGAACTGCAGCAAAGCAGGGAAGCCCCCAGGCCAGCCGTAAGCGCAAAGAGTCCCCACCACGACGGCAGGAGGCAGGATCGAAGGGGCCAGGAGCCACAGGTAGGGAAGCGGGACTGGCACCCATGGGAGCTGAAGAGCAGCTGCACCTGGTGCTGAGCTTCCCGGAGACCCTGCAGGCTGATTCCGCGACCGCTCTAGGACAAGTGCGGAGACTCATCCCTAGGACATGCCTGGGAGGGACGGTGGCCCTGAGGCCCCAGGAGGAGACCGCGCTGGGCAAGGTCAGCCATCTAGGGAGAGACGACCCTACAACAAGATGGAAAGGGAGAAATCTACGGTGAAAGCCTGGCTGCTTTAGTTTGCTAAAACTAAACACATATTCAAGTGCAGCAATGAAATGGACCTACTGCTCCTTGGAAATAGGATTGTGTCTGTGTTCTGGCACAGATGTCACAAAGAATGATGAAGCTGGAGCCGGTGAGGGGCAGGAGGAGTCCAGGCTGGACTAAGGGGCTTCACATCATCACCATCAAGGTAATGACCCTTCCCGGCACTGCGCAGGAGCCAGAGAAAATATTTATTTACCATTAAAAATAATGATGCGGGAATAGATCTCCGCACTTGTCCTAGAGTCCTCAGACCCGGGCACTGAGCCCTGGAGAGTTGAGGAGGTGGGTGAGAGGCAGGGCTCCCAGAGAATGGCCAGATCCAGCTTCCTCCGGACAAGTCCGGGTCTGGACGCTGTGTCTGTCCCCTCAGCAGAGCGGTCATGGAATCAGCCTGCAGAATATACACACAAATATCTATATATAATATATCCCTTAAAGCACACTGCCATTAATCCCCTTGAAAATACTTCCCCCTCGTTGCAATCATACTTGCCCCATCCTCGCCATTTTCTAAAGCAGTTCAAGATGTCCTCTTTCGTGAGTGTCTTTACAAGGTGTGACAAAAAATACAGGGAATGCTGCTGCCATCCAAGAGAAACACAGGCTCATCAAAACATGCCGCGGTGTCCTCATTCGCCTTTCACCACATCTGGCACCATGCAACTTCTGGTTTGTCCCCAGAGCCAAAAATGACCATGAAACGTAAACTTTTAGAGTCCATCTGGAACACTGAAACAGCCAAGACAGCACAGCTGAAGATATCACAAAAGAGGACCTCCAGAACTGCTTCAGAAAGGCGGAAGGACAGCGAGGAGCAGTGTGTTCACAGGGAGGGTGATGGATGGTAATAAACACTTTTATTTAAACACACACCATGTATTTTGATCACACCTTGCATACTGGGTATTGTGTATGTGTCTGCATGAATTGTGTCATTTAATCTTGAAAGCTCAGTGAAATAAGCATTATGGACATTATGTAAAGGAGGACGTGAACTCTAGGAGGGGCAGAGACCTGAACTGCTGTATCATTATTAAACAGGGAGCGGGGAGCCCAACCCAGGTCTGACCAATATCCACTGTAATAGACCCCACTTTCAGAGAGGACGCTTTGGAAAGCTCCTGCCGGAAATAATAAGTGTCCATCTCCAGAGGGTGAGATTTCTTCTTTTTGTTTTACAGTGTTGCACAAATATATTCTAAAGTGTGTATTATTTTAAATATCTGAAATAAGGACATTTTAATTGGGAAAATAAATGAAAAGAAGGGGAATCTCAGCCTCTGAATGTCTCATTTTCTACCTCAAACAGTCCAAAACTAGTATTTAATTTCAAGCTACATATGCCACAAAAATATATATACATAGAGAGAATTGCCAAAATATCAATCACTGAGAGGAAAAACTATTACATTCAATTTCTGAAATTTTGAGGGGGTTAGTCTATTAACAAAAGCCCATCTGTCTCCTGACTCCTAACCTCCCAGTTCACCCTATATTTATCACTAAATACTCTTCTTCCATACTCCACCATGCCCCTTTCTTCTTTTTCAGAGCAGGGGCGTGCGCTGTTCTCCAGGCTAGCCTGGGATTTACTATATAGGCCAGGTTGCCTGTAACAGTAGCTGGGACCCCAGGCTCCGCCCCCATCACCTTCCTCACGTCTCTGCTGTGCAGCAGAGTCCAGAACATCCAGAACACTGTCCTGGACCAGGATGCAGTCTCCTCAGGGACTGATGAGGGAAGTGCCACTCCCTAGCACACAGCCCACAGCCCAGTTAGTCTTAGGTCACCTGACTTCTAGAATATTCTATCAGAAACGTCTCTCAATAACTAATCCCCACCAAAACCAAACTGACTTCTAGAATATTCTATCAGAAACGTCTCTCAATAACTAATCCCCACCAAAACCAAACTGACTTCTAGAATATTCTATCAGAAACGTCTCTCAATAACTAATCCCCACCAAAACCAAACTGACTTCTAGAATATTCTATCAGAAACGTCTCTCAATAACTAATCCCCACCAAAACCAAACTGACTTCTAGAATATTCTATCAGAAACGTCTCTCAATAACTAATCCCCACCAAAACCAAACTGACTTCTAGAATATTCTATCAGAAACGTCTCTCAATAACTAATCCCCACCAAAACCAAACTGACTTCTAGAATATTCTATCAGAAACGTCTCTCAATAACTAATCCCCACCAAAACCAAACTGACTTCTAGAATATTCTATCAGAAACGTCTCTCAATAACTAATCCCCACCAAAACCAAACTGACTTCTAGAATATTCTATCAGAAACGTCTCTCAATAACTAATCCCCACCAAAACCAAACTGACTTCTAGAATATTCTATCAGAAACGTCTCTCAATAACTAATCCCCACCAAAACCAAACTGACTTCTAGAATATTCTATCAGAAACGTCTCTCAATAACTAATCCCCACCAAACCCAACTGTCTCCCAACAGTCAAAATGAAGAAGTCAAGATGGAAAACAAAAAACAGATGTTTCCTATAAAGCAATGCATCTAAGAAACATAATTACTAATATACACACGTACAACAGACCATGTACATAAGCGCTCGATATTAGCAAGTTGTACTTAAAAAAAACTGCCCAACAAAGTGTTACAGGTTGGATCTGAAATGACCCTTAATGGCCCAAGTGTTGAAAGCGAGATTTCCACACACTGGGATGCAGTGAGCGTTTAGGAGATGTGCCTCACTGGAAGACTTGGATCATTGGGGGTGGCCTTGGAGGGGACATTGAGGTCCCACCCATCTCTCCCTGCTTCTCCCTCTTGCATCTTGATGGTCCCCACGTGAGCAGTGTGGCTCCCCTGGGTACCCCAAGCATGATGCGCTACCTCGCCACGCCCAGGCACAATGGGTCAAAGCTGAAACCTCCCAAACCTCGAGTCAGAACGCACATTTCTCCTCTGCAAGTCCATTATCTGACAGAAAGCTGGCTACCACGGCTCAAAAAGTGAGGAATCACATTCATACAAGGCATGACGTCACTGGCTGTCCGAGATGATGTCACGGTACACAGAACTCCGCCAATGAAGCAGTGACTCGTGCAATTTTCTACAATTGGAATTTTAATTTTCCACTCACCTAAAGAACCTCTAGACCAGTGACAGTGAAGCTTTTAGAGACAAAGTGCCCAAACTGCAACCCAAGACCCACTTACTTGCCATAAAGTGCCTACAGTGGTGTGTGTGGTTATCCAGTGCCAGCTGCCGGGTGTTGCTGGGAAGACCCAGCTCGAAGGACAGAGCAGCTGTGTGTGCCTACTGCGCAGGTGCCACAGCTGTGCCACCACTACTCCAGCCTTACTTAGACGTTCAGTGCAAACGTGAAGCAAATGTAAACAAACCAACGTGGCCGAGTCGCCCCCAAAATCCCTCAACAGAACCCAACTCTTCCACACTGTGGGAGTACCAGAAATGAGTCAGCCTCCGTTTTGTCCGAGGGCCGTCTCCGGGACTTTCTCTAATCAGCCGAGGTCCAATCTCCAATTTCTGACGCATATGCACAATCAATGAATTAGGTTGTCAGCCTTTTCTCTGCTGCATGGCTGACTGTCTTGTAAAACAGACCCGAAATTCAGGGATGTTAAGTGTGGGGGAAAGAAGTTTTAGAAATGTGACACAGGGCTTAATGAAAGTATATAAACTAATTACTTGAGAATGTATGAAAGTGACCAAAAAAGGAGATTGCAACAGAGGAGATTTTCTCTGTTCAGCTGATGCCAGGATCAGTATCACTGATGTGGATCAGCACTCATCCACGTCAGCCTTGGCCCCTCCCTCTGATCCCCCTCCCCCTTCCAAGCCTCCTGCCACACTGGTGCCCTTCCAGACGCCAATCAGAGGAGCAGGAGAGGAAGCGGCACCGCTACAGAGCCCCTCCCCACAGAAGAACCACTTTTTTTCTCTCTTTATACCTGCAGAATATCTGATATGGCAAAACATCAAGAACCTATGTAACTTGAGCTACAGACAGAAAAGAAGCAAGCTTCTGAGGGAGAGACCTGCCATTAAAATAGGAACGTGAGCCTGGTTTTCTCATTCTTGTGTACACCAGCAGTCCTTAAGCCTTTAACTTCTTTAAAAGTCACAAACAGCCTCATTTTTTAATTCACTTCTATAAATATTTACTCAGTGATTTAAGGGTTTAGAACTCTACTTAGTTTGGGTTTGAAATCCCAAAAGAAAAAAGTTCCTACCCCACATCAGGCGCTCAGCCAGTATAACTAGAAGGAAAAGACATTGCCGGGCAGGTTAAACATTGCATCTGTTCTCCAGGTCTAACACAGACACCCCTCCCCTTTTGTTTGTAAGGAGGGACCAGAAGAACAGTATATCAAAATGTCAGCAATCTGAAAATTAAGTTGTCAGCTTTTTTTCCCTGTACTGCAAATTACAAAGGAATTAGAGGTTTGGTGCTAATAGAAGCTTATACTACTAAAGTGTGCAATTTAACCGATCATCTCAAGCTCTAAAAATGCAGTACCAAAGACATTTCAACCAAGCAATCTGCAGTTCTGGTACCTAATTTCGACTTTTCTACTTGAAGCATTTTTATTCCTCTTTGGAAATGTGCTTTGGAATAGTCACACAGTTCAATAAGCACTGTACGGCACTCCTTTATATATAATCCACTCAACACAAGGGCAATCACCTTAGCAAAGAGGCACAAAACAGAAAAGGAACCATCTGCAGCTACTCTGTGGTGCCTGGTTTTTACCCTCACACCACACTAAATTCAGGAAGCAAACATCAAATGCACTTTACGGTTTCAGAAATCTAGTCTTCCTTCTATAATTTATTCCCCACTAATTTGGGTGAAATGTATCTTTGATCATCTCTGCACAAGAATTTGAAATGTGGATTGAAATGTTAATTTAGAAAAACAATTAGCAAATAAAACAAACATGGAAAGGGAGATCAATGACCCCAAATCACTGCAGATATCTCTTACACTTGTGAAATCTCCAGCCTTTACCTTTTTTCCAGTTACCAATTGTGCCTGCATCACTTAAAAGCAGAGAACACTCACTGCCCACCCAGAAAATAAACTGCATCTTTAAAGATACTATCTACTTGTAATAGACAGCCATAATACTCTAAACCAAAAATGTATCAAGGATGCTATTTTAATGCAAAGAATAGTAGGAAATACATTGATTCAATGCATGAACAAAAATACTGACTCCTTACTCTAGTTCTTTAAATAATTTTTAAATAGCCCCCTTAAAAATCACACTGCGTCCCTCTGTAAAAGAAATACTCAGGGATCTCTGCTCTTTTCCCCAGACACATCTTCTTCCCTGATCCTGGAGATGCTTCCTCCCAAGGAAGGCTTCCACCCCACCCTTCTCCAGTTCTCCAGACAATACCTGTGGCACAGTTCAGCCTGAGAAGGGAGACAGTGACTCTCGCATCGGCAAAGTTGAGCCAGGCAGATGCCTCAGACAGTCTGGCGTGGCCAGCCCCACCCTTGAGCCATAGTGATGTCATAACGCGGGCAGGGCAAGGCTGCACTGCTCCAAGTCCTTGCTTCTGAGCACACAATTCTGTACAGCCGGGGCAAATCAGATGACAGCACAGCACTCCAGGAGCCAGGAGGGTCTGATGAATTCCCAACAAATGAGCAGCCAGCCAGCCAGCCCCGTGGAAGAGTGAGATGCTGCAATTGCACCATTAGAGCGCTCTGTAAATGAAGAGGTCCTAGAGCTAAATGTGACCCCTGGTAAATCTGACACTCCACGAGGTAAACAGTGACAGGCTACTTGGGGAAGACACCAGAAGACGCGACTGAAGAAACCTCTTTGTTAGAGTCAAATTCCCACAGAAAGGAATCGTATTATTTTTCAGTCTACTCTGCAGTTCTAGTTTACTGGTGAGGACATGAATTCAAATTCATCAGTTTAAGATGTTTTTTAAAGAACACACTTCAAAGACAAACGCACATTCTACAACTGGAGAAAATAGTTATACAGCAAGTCCCTGCCACGCTTCATCCAAAAAATGGTAAATTCTGAAAAGACGCACACAGTGATGACAACGTTGTCTCTCAGTACATGGCTGGTGCTCAATGCATCTGACCAAACAATTAAAAAATGTACATATGAAATTGCAAAAATCCCCCATCTTGCATTTTAACACGAAGTTGGCCCAAGTCCAAGCACCATACAAGAACCGACAAAAGCTGCTTTTAACCTAAGTCACATTCATGCACAAGGAACAACTTAAAAATCAATGTAAATAAACCCCAGACCCTGTCCTTTGACCTCTAGCTCCTCCATCCTTCATCTTAAAGTGGTTTACAATTACAGTGGGTCCTTTTTGTTTCCAGTAAACCATTCACAAAACAAGGCTGTTTTGCAAAATTACTTGCCTGGGTATATCAGCTAGACAAACTTTATGCAGTAACTTGTGCATCTAATTATTTTGCTTTTCTAAACCAGAAGATCCTGATGCAAATGAGACAGCATGTAGGATCCAGGCTGCTTCCTAAATGCCTCAGAGATTAACAAACTAAAGGAATGTATTTCCTCTTACAATAACGACTAAAGTTTGGAGCATCGTGAAGCCAAATTAGTATGCATTTAAAAAAAACAATCTTGCTGAGCCAGTGTGGAAGCCACCTTCTGGCTGAAGGCATTCAGCAAGTTAGATGCGCTCCTCTGCTGCCACTGAGCTAGGTTTCTGGCTCCCACACACAAGTGTTTTATCACCCTTGCGTCCTTGGGCCTTTACAAAATCAGCCCCAAATTAAAAACAATGTTTCCAGCGCTTGGCTCAGCAGTTCCTCCGCTGGGGATGCAAGTGCTGTCCAGGGGAACTGCAGCGCACCTGGCTGCCTGGGGGACCCTAACCTGGGCCGAAGCAAAGGCCAGGCTGAGCAGTGCAAACGCAGCTCCCCAGGACTAATGTGAAAATGCTGAACCCCAACTTGCAGGCGTCATGGCAGCCCGGCAGGCACAGCCAGGCCCGGCCTCCAGGCCCAATAGAGGCCACGCGTTCCTTTTATCGTTCTAGTTGTTTGGCTGCTATCATTTCTTTCCAACTTTAACCTCGGCCTGCAAAGGCAGGGAGAACCCCAAGAAAACTTCAGATCCAAGAATCTGAAAGGAGACAAGGCAAGATCATCGCTCCCACCGCCGCACAGGACCAGAGACACTTTACTTAACCACACCCACCGCATTGCAGAAGCCGCGAACTTGGCCAGGGGTGGCGGGGTGAGGGGAAGAAGTAGGGCGCGCTTAGGAGGTGCTCCTCCGAGAGCCAGCCCCGGGCGGGCGGGAATCTGGGGTCCCGGCAGAGCCCAGGCCCGGC